CTGAGGAAATGGCATGAAGCGACTCTATGAGGAGGGCTATAACTATGGGGGGCTGAAGTTCAAGTTTGCCACCATTGGGATGAAAGGTGACGTGGTCAGCAGGTTCAAACCCCATAGTATGGCAATGCAGGAGAGTTGGCTGGTCTAGGTGATCTACCGTATCAAGTCAAAGCAGCTGGATTTGTGCGCTCATTCAGTCATGTACGCAAAGCACCTGAAGCTGTTCACTCAACGGAATTGGCTGGATGCTGTTGGTTGACTGTCAGCATTGATCAATAGTAGTGCGTGCATGCATGGGTCTTGTGCAGAATGCTGACATTGAGGCTGTGCATGGCTGGCACAAGGGATCATCCTTTTGAGGACCTGAGCAACTGGATGCAGCTAGGCAAAATCCCGCAAACATTTTTGATGAATGGACATGACTTCAAGGCGAGCTGGATCAATACTATCGGTGACCAAGGGAAACTTCCATACATGAGGACACCTGCGTTGCTTGAGTGCTGCTTGAGTGATCGCTCGCACCCGGCAAGTTTTTTCAAACTGGATTTTGTTTCATGGTTGCTGCGCGGGGATTTTGAAAGACTTTGTTGGCTCATGTTTGACTGTTTTACTGGAATTGTTTGACGAACCCAACTTGCCGGAGAGAGCTGTCAAAATGAATGAAGTGCTCAAGACCTTTTGCGAGAACCAGAGGCACACGTTTCATGCAAATCAGCTGAACCTATCCTTGTTGGGGTACTCTGTCAAAGACTATGTCTCTGGATCATGGAGCAAAGGGCAGGACAGTATTGTCCTTCTCCGTTTTGTGGTGTGGCTGTGTGGGAAATATCCTGCAAATGACATTGAGCAGCATGATCAAAGTGGCTGCAGAGGTTTTCTGCAGATTTTGGGATTTGCTGCACGCATCTGGGGTTTGGATCTATGGTCAGGACGCCATGGATTGTGTGGTCAATGGCCAAGCCTTTTGCACAGCATACCAAAGGCTGGCTGTGTGGGCGTTTGACAGTGAAAGGTTTTTGTTCAACATGGTCCCCAAATGTCATTGTTTTCATCATGTGGTTGTTGTGATGAGAATGCAGCTCTTAGCGCATGGGGTTGTTTGGAATCCATTAAATGATTCCACGCCCCAAGATGAAGATTTCGTTGGCCACACGGCCAGGGTTACACGTCGAGTCAGCAGCCGAGCCACTGCACTGAGGACACTTCAGCGGTGGAAGCTGGGGGTTTTGCCAGCATTGCAAAGCAATGCAGCTTCAAACCAAAGGGCTTTGCTAAAAAAAACTTGAGCGATCCTGAGTGTATGTGCTCGCAATAGGTTTCTGAACTCTATTTGCACAAGTTTGAGCCAGTGTGGGCTTTCAAAAGCCCATGCACGTGCTTTGACAATCCCCGTGCATGCATTGGCTTTCATAAGGTTCCCATGGTTCCCATGTATGGGCTTTCACAATGCCCGTGCATGCATGGGCTTTCACAGGGTTCCCATGGTTCCCATGTATGGGCTTTCGCAATGCCCGTGCATGCATGGGCTTTCACAAGGTTCCCATGGTTCCCATGTATGGGCTTTCACAATGCCCATGCATGCATGGGCTTTCACATGGTTCCCATGTATGGGCTTTCACAATGCCTTTATGTGGGAAACATGTGAGTGCCCGAATTGCTGGATAGGTGCCTTCACAGGTACCTATCTGTGATATGTGTGCAGTACACAATGTACTTCAAAACAGACCAGGTGTGAGGAGGGCCACTTATGCGCAAATGCTGTGCACTGCTGCATGTATGTTTTGATGTGCCAGCATACTTTGGCCAGAGCAAGTTTTTTTGCATGAGTGGCTCAATGGCTGATCCTGCCAAAGCCAAATCTGGGACTGCCATGTCGGCGGATGCGCCACCTTTTGTGTTGGCAGGGCGCCCTGTGTCGTACTCACCGCCGTACAAAGTTCCACCACCAGAGCTGCAGAGTGCTCTTGGATCTCAAAGCAGTGGTGCGGAAGGCTCCGCCAGGCCAAGCTGACCAAGTTCCTCAAGCAGTGCCGCGGAAGGCTCCGCCAGGCCAAGCTGACCAAGTGCTTGGTCAAGCAGTGCCTCCGAAGGCAGTGGCAAAGCAGGCTGAGGCCAATGCACCTGCTGTTCAAGCACAGTGGAATGCTGCACCAGTGGGACTGCCGACGCCGGAGCTACAACACGCCTTACGGGTAATGCGCAATGTGCAAGCGTTGGAGGCATCCCTCGATCTAGCTCAGTTTGACTCTGGGCTCAATTTGTTTTATGTTTGTGCATGGCAAAGTTGTCAACCAAATCCATGAAAATTTTTGATTGCTTGTGGCATGTTTGTTGCATGTAGGAACTTCAACGCTACAGCATCGATGTCCTTGATGATTGGTGCACGGTTGGCTAACAAGAGCATCGCTGGATGAGCAGTCTGCGTGGTTGCATTCAGTGTTTGTGCATGGTCTAGTGCTCATGGATTTGTCTTGGGCTTTCACAAGCCCATTGTCTTGGGCTTTCACAAGCCCAAGACAATTAGTGTTGCTTTGTTGATTGAAAACTTGTGTGTCTGAGGCAATTGCAGGATATCGCTCGCAACCTCTCAGATTGCAGGAGGCAATGCCTGGTGGTGTGCCAAATGTGTGGTGTTGACACACGTGCCTGAGTGAGTGGCCAGATTGCATGTGCAGGATCGCATTTCACCGAATTTAAAGGGCCGGTGAAAGAATTCACCCAAAGGGTGAATGAGTGTTTCAGAATTTAAAGGGCTGGTGAAAGAATGTTCACGTTTCACCTCTTTCAGCTGTACAGGCTGACGAATATGAGCAACGTTCAAACAAATAATACTATTTGATGAAACTCGTATATACACATGCAAATTATATGAGCAACGTACATGATGAAACGACCGTATTTTTCATACAGAAAATGACTGTAAGATGAAATGACCGTTTTTTTTTGAAACGACAAAAAATGGTCTTTTTCAAAGCGGTCGTTTCAGGTTCCAGGTATCATATATCTGCTTCTACTCGCCACAAAGCAAAGAACACAACACATGCAGAAAATGCCGTCTCGATCGTCTCGCTGGATCTCCGTCTCGCTGCCGGCCATCGTCTCGCCCCGGAGCTTCGCGTCGGGGAACGGACCGTCGACGCGTCGGAAGGATTCGCCGGAAGGATTCCGGGATCGTTGACCGTACCCGGACGTGTTTGGCATCTATAACTCCCGGACGTGTTTGGCATGTCGTTTTTTTGGGGTGCATCTTTGTGCAGCTAGAGTCACACCGACTCCGCCGGGAGGAGAAACACGAGAAACACTTGATCCTGGCTCTTCCGAAGGCTGTGGGCAATGAAGTGTTCGTCGGCGCCCGGCTGGAAGTGGTTCCAGAAGGCCTGGTGCAGCATCCGTCGAAGCCGTGCGATGGCTGAGAGAAGAGAAAGAGAAAGGAAAGGTCTTCCTGGTGTTTCGGAAAAGCCAGGTCAGAGATACCTCTCATCGACAAGTATACTTTGAGTGAATTGATTCTAATCCCTATACGGCCCTAGGGATCCTGTATGTTCTCAGAAGGCTCAGGTTCGGTACGACTGGCACCGTGTCGAATACATCACCGTAAATCCTTCGATGGGGGGACGGAAATCCTTTCGATTCGGCGGCTAGAATCACGGCTGCATTCCAAGAGAACTCTCTTTCTCGTCCCTGAATTCACCAGAAAACCGTTTCATAGTCGACCTCCTCGACCCTTGGAATCCCCCAAAAATATCATGGGGTCTCTTCCAGCAAAACACCAGCGCAAAACATGATCTGTCCCGTGACTTGCCATCACCAAATCACCACGCAAACAAACTCATTGAACATTCAAAGAACATCCGAAAATAAGAGTATTATAGAGTAATGTAAATGTGAATGAGATTGGAGTACACTCACTTCTCATCTCAGTAGAACTCAGTTCAAGTACTGGATATCAGTGACATCAGTACTCTCCTTGGAACATTTTGTGGAAAGGGACCCCCCCTCTTTGTAAAGGAATATGGTCTTCCAAGGGGCCATAGTCCACGTAACCATGTTTGTTCCAGGGAGTGTATCATATCATCCTTGGAACTCTTCAAATCTTCCGTCAAACGAAGGACCTCCTTCAGCCGCCGAACGCCACGAGGTCTCCCGCGCGCCCGCGGCGCGAGCGCTCTCGCGAGTCGACCACCACGCCTCCCGCGTCAGCTCCTCTGTGGCGCGAAACTCCGCCGGTGTCACAGGGCGGACTTCCATCCTTTGAGAAACCCGCACTGAGCGTCTTGTTGAGGCTGAAGCATCGCGGGGTTCAACGAAGAAGCGGCATCGGCGGTGCAGCGGAGGCCACTTCCAAAGAAAAAGGGACCAGAGATGGGAAACATGTACCAGCACCTTCCAAGTGGTCTCCAAATAGGAGCTCTACATCTCTATAGCTGTGGATCTCCATGTTTCGCTCCGCTCGCTCGCACCCCTTTGAAGGTCCAGGTATAAATGCTTCAAGGCACCCCACCTGGTGTTTTTTGGGGATGCCCTTTTTGCGGCAAAAAGACCCACGACTCGCGCAGTCCATGGACGACGGAACGAACGAATCCGGGCGGACCGGAGGCGGACCGCCCGCCCATTCTGGGGGATCGGGACGGTGCAGGAAACGAAGATCTGAGGAGCTCTTAGCAGTTGCGGACCTCTCTTCACTCACTATCTTCACCTCCCAACATCGCTAAAAACCGACTTTTGGGACCCGAAATGGCGGGTTACGGGTTTGACATGGTTGTGGCAACGGTTGTGGCAACTTGCTGTTTTGGTGGGATGGTCTCTGGTTGGGCTCTGCACGTCCTTTTTTGGGACAGATGGGACGAGGGACGAGTGGGTGTTGAGGGTGTGCCTCATCACGTGCCCTCACCAGGCCAGCTTGGCAGACCGGGCCAGCTTGGCACCGAGTCGAACGTCAAGTGCGCACCGCGCTTTCGGAGGCTCGAACGCCCGGATCCGCGTGAACTGTGCCCGGGCGCATACATGACCATGGGACAGATGATGCCCGGAAGCTTCACAATGACCACCTGACCGCCACACAAACCGGGGCAAGTGGTCTGAAACGGGTGGTTTGGGGCGGATGTTGGGGAGGAATCCAGGCTTGAAGTGGGTGGAATTCCCAATTGATGTAGATGGTTGATGCATTAATAGTCGGCCCGTATCGGCACCAAGGTATCGTTTAAGTGGTCATAATATTCAATGAATATCAACAGCCATCAAACAGTCTACAGTACACCGACTCTGGGGGGTGATTTCTTTCAGCACACCTGCGCCGCATGCACCACAGAATCGACCTGCAAATGTTGGCGCGTGTCCTGTACCAAACCTATAGCATCCTATAGCCCAAGAGCCTGTGTATAGCAGCTCTCCAAGCTGAAAACGCCATCGACTTTGCGGCTCGTGGCGACGTCCAAACACCGACCGTGCACCTTCACGGGTACCAAATCGGCTTGATGCACCTGAGGGGCGGCCGTTAGCTGAGCCGAAGGGAGGAGGACCCCGAGAGCGGAATTCGGTGTTCACCGAGGAAGGTAGCTAAGCAGAACGCAAGCCGGAACTGCCGGAACTGCTTGGCTAGACCTGCAAGTCAAAGGACTGTATTCACTGTGCAGGCCGTGAAGAGTGGGTTTGCTGGCAGGAGGTTGCAGGAATCCTGCTGGGTGACATGAATGGAGATGGTCAATCTATTGCTCGCGCTGAAAACAAAACTGGCAAATTTGGGGTCCCGGTAGCTTGAACGTCTTGAACACAGGAAGCCCGGTGCAAAAGGCTCAATACTGACTGTGTATGTATGTTCCACTACCGTCGCCAGTGAGTTCTGATCTCTGCGCAGCTCGTCTAGTTTTTACCTGCCCGCGGTCTTAGTTTCGGTATCCTCTTCCCCCGTGGCATTGCCCACCGCAGCATGGTGGCTGTGGTGGGATTTGCTCCCAAACGGCTGAAGGTACGACTTCGGCTCGACTTCACTCGACTTCCAGCATGAAGGGAACTCACGTTTATGAGGGGTGTGTATATCCCCAACACTAAAATACATGGCATAGAAAAAACTACTACATTGGGGTGGTTTCAGAGGTCAATGTCGTAGGCATATTTATATATTATGCCATACATGGAGTGTGTGTCTGGGCATTATACATATTTGGACATGATTTGTTTCCAATACGGGAACATCTTTGTTCGGACAGGCTTGACCACAGCCAAGAGGCAAACCGGTCCAGCAAGAAGGCATAGGCTGCAGCTATACTAGGCTACATATGCATCAAGGTCAAACACCTCTTAATGCACTCTTGAGTAACACCCCCGCCCATTTGGATGCACGAACTTGCGGACCGTCCAATCACGGGCGCGCCCACACCCTCCCTTCCCTGATATTCAGGGGGGTACGGGTGGGCTTGGTATGGGATGTGAGACCAACAACAGGGGTGAAGTTGGGCCCTGTTCGGAATATGTACAAAAGAGACCTACGCTACGAATGCATCGAAGGAGATGTGGACTGAATAAAAATAGAATAAACAAAGACCGGACTTGGGAAAGAGCATAAAGAACGGCAATCGTCGGAGACACATACCCAAACCAAAATATGCAGAACTCTCCTGAAATGACCTATGAGTACCAATGCCATGTGGCCATTGGGCCTCTTGTCAGAATTGGAGTGTAAATTACGAATTGCCACGAGAAACCGGAAAACACCCGAGTACAGGTCATGACGTAAATGTGTGTCGAAATATTCGGGTTTAGGATTTCTTCGCTATATAACTGCCTGGGCTGCATGTCCAAGACAGGGGCATCTAATTCGGGGCCGGTGGTGGCCGTACAGAGAATGGCTCTAATTAGTGTTCGGATGTCGGAAATGATCGAAACCCTTCTTACGGAAATGTGCATTTCGAACATTCTGCAAAAAATTTTCTCGGCGGTCTGCAGCAATCTCCGGCCAGTTGGGCCACGTGGGTCTATGCACGGATTCTGGCACGGGTGGCATGTAGACCTCTGTGTTATAGGGGGGATTATGTGGCATGACGCTGAGAAGATCATGGATAAAGTCGTACGTCTGGCTAACATTTGGCAGATTTGGTCGTCTTGAAATACCACCCTCGTGGTATGGAGTAAAGCCCAAACGAATGAGGCTGGTGGTGCCTTGTTTCTTATATTGAGGAATGATGTTTGTTTTGGAGAAAGTCTGAATATGTTTAATAATCCATCGAAAATTTTCTGCGAGAATGCGGATGGATCGCTGTTTAACTGGGAGTAACTGCGTCTTTTCGTCATCATATGGTAAGATGATGTTACTACTGTTTTCTTTGATTCGGACTGGCAAGCGACATTGAGCCCACAGCATGAATGAAATAGCAAGTTCCGTCCACGAAATGCCTTGTTCCCCGGGGGCCGGTGCCTCATCCGGGTGGGGCCATAGTAGAAGGCCACAGTATGTCCATACCAGGCGTGCCAGGTTTGTCCCCCAGGGGCAGCTCCAGAAAACAACTCGGTGCGGTTCTGGCGGCATGACAAAACTGGGGCCACGGACTATCCATCCTCTTAATTTTGTCATTTGTTTTTGGTATGCCGTCTGTGCCTGCTGTGAGGCAGGGCCAAGAGTTGTGTGTCTGGAGGAGGATCCATCGAGATCTTTTTCTTGCTTGGCCATACGCATGAGCGCCAGGTCAACGAGATATTTGTACACGTTTTCGAATATCTGTAGTTGAGACAGTCGGTGCTGTTTGATGTCCGTGCAAATCTGTGAGAATTCTGTGTCATCTGTTTTTCTGACTTTACCGGCTACTTCGTCGGCCAATGAGTTACCATGAATATGCCATGCTTCAATATGCGACGAGGCCGAATTTAGGTCTTTGTGGGAATGAATTTTGAGGATGCGAAACCTAACCGTGTCCCATAATTCAAGCAGGCGTTGTACCAAATCCCAATGAGCTTGTTTGTGTGGATGGCGAAAAATTGTTTCGTTCTGGATTTCTTCGATGATGTTACATACGAATTGCGAGTCTGTGACGAAAAGGACTGGGTTAGTACCCTGGCATGCCTGGACCTGCTCAACTGCAATTACCATAGCGAAGAGTTCAGAGCGGTTGATTGTCTGTGGGCCTGGGCAGTGGCCGCATGCTGAAACAGAATAGTTTCGAAACTCGGCATCTAACGGATGTGGGTGGCTGAAAACAACTGCCCATGCTGCTCTAGCGGTGTACGGATCACGAGTGTCGTCGCAGGATCCGTCTGTATAAATAAATGTGCCAGGAGGAATGATCTGCGGGTGTGATGCGAACGAGGTGCAATTGCGAAGAAACATGGCTTGTCGCGCCATGGGTGTGCAATGGTGATGTACAGGAAGAGGAAACCAGCACGTGCGGCGGTTTTGTTGCATAAACGAGATCGCTTCGGTGTGGTTCTGTCTGAGGTCGTGGAACTCCGGGCATTCTAAAATCTGATGGCAGTGCGTATCATATTTTTTACACCATGGGCACATCGGGTCTTGGGTGGCCGACCAGTTTGCAATTGCACCCAGGCTTTGCCATCCGGATGTTAAACTCAAGGAAAGAATGCGGCGTTGCCTATCTGTCAACTTTTTAAGCAAGCGAATGGTGGATGTTGAATCGAATGGACAATCGGAAACACCTTTTCTATGAAGAATTTCCTCGTAGCAATACCAGTCCCATGCTATACGTAGTTGTGCGCGAATCTGCTTATTGGAGGATGAGGGAATGGACACGCGAAGACCTCCTGGACCTAACAGCGTTGCATTTGATGTGAGTTCCCACTGCAAGTGCTTGAGATATGCTGCGAGGGCGCTAGCGGGACCTCGGATTTTTCCCTCGAAAGCCCGCACGGAGCTGGTAAACTGGTTTGCCATCTTGGGGTAGTAAATATACATTCTGCGAAGAGTAGTCAGGATGTCAGTGATGATATAGAGCAACGGGTCTGTGACTCGGTCTGACAAGTAGTGTAGTGCCACTACACTGGATGCGTGTTTGTGATCGCCTACGAGGACGGAGGCCGCAGCTCGGCGTAGGGAAACAAAATGCTTATGACCGATCTGTATTCCTAGTGCTCCGTAGAAGACTGCCGGCCAAATTGCTACCTGGATCTTTTCTGCCTTTTCATCAAGTGGCAAGTTAAACCGGCGAAGTCTATTGCATTTGGCCACAGCGTTATCTATCTTATCGCGGAGCGGGCCTAGGACCACAGCATTATTATAGGAAATGGTGCAACCCAAATCATGCACGTGGCTTTTGATCTGAAATACGAACTTGGGGTCCATGAGCAGGGCTGAGGCCTCTTTCCAGAAAGTTTGGAATTGTTTTGTTGTGGCCCAGCACCAAGACTTCTTAAAATCAATTTGCATCTTAAGGCTTGTTATGAGATTGAGGATGGTTGTCATAGCGGAGAAACACGCCTGGTCTGACGTGGACATGAAACTCCAGTTATCCGCATATGCGTATGGGAAGAGTCGTGGTGAGCGGAGCTTCGAGTAGAAAACAAAACTGAGGGCGAGCATGCCTACAACTGACATCGAGTCACCCTCGGGAAGGCCTGTTGTCGAGAGGTGAGCTGGCCCCAGGGCTTTGCCGCATTGGAGTGCACGTGTGAGTCGAGTGAGTGATTTGAACCAAAAATCTGTCACGTGCGAAGGAATACCGAGGAGCTTGAAAACATGACTAACGACCTTCCGGGGTATCAGGTTAAATGCTTTAACGAGGTCCATTGTCCAGCCTCCCCAGGCAGTATGATGTGCCTTAGCGTGTTCGATCTGCAATTGTTGCATAAGTGAGAGATCTCTTGCTGATCGACGAGGCAGACCTCCGCTAATTTCGGGTGGCCACAAAGTGGCCCACTGGCTTAAAATCTGGTCAGAAATCATTTTGGAACATAGACGGGCCAAATACCCGAGAATGGTAATAGGCCTTCCATCAGCGATGGATGTAGGGTTATCTCTTTTTGCGAATAGCAACGTCCGAGCTTGCATAAAACGTTGTGTAAGACCGAAGTGCCAGACGTTACGAATGAGTGTCGAAAGGTCTTGGACCATTGTCCACGTGAGTGATTGCAATTCTTCAGAATGCCACCCGTCTGCCCCGGCTGCCTTATAGGGCTTAAGGCGCTTAATTGAATTCCAAAGGCAGGTTGGGCTATCGAACTGTATATCCAAAAAAGGTTGTAGTGGGATAGTGGCATCTAAGTCTTCAAGAAAATCAGACCACGGATCTTCTTCCGTCTGTTCTGTCATCGTGTCCCTCAACCAGAATTGGGACCAGTACTTATGGAAACATGATGACATGTCATCAATGGTATATGCATGAGTTGAAAACTGGATCATGGCTTTTGCTGGAATTGTGCCTTTTACTTGTTCAATTGTGAGCATGGGTGGCTCACATGTGTGTACAACGGCGGAACAGCTTCCAAACATAATTTGGGCACCTGTTGGGATTATGATAGGTGTGGCCATACGGAGTCT